TAATACACCATATTAACAGAATGAAGGGGAAAAAATGATAATCTCAAATGATGCAGAAAAAAACATTTGATAGAACTCAGTATCTTAAAAAAAAAAAAAGAACTCAGTATCTTTTCATGATAAAAATACTCAACTAGAAATAGCAGGAAATTACCTCAACAAAATAAAGACCATATATGAAAAACTCACAGCTGACATCATACTAGGAGGTGAAGACTGAAAGCTTTTCCTTAAAGATCAGGATCAAGACAAGAATGTTCATTTTCACCACTTCTATTTAATATATTATTGGCAGTTCTAGCCAGAGCAATTAGGCAAGAAAAATAAAAGCGTCCAAATTGGAAAAGAAGAAATGAGATTACCTCTGTTTACAGATGACATGATCTTACATGTAGAGATCCCTAAAGATTTCACAAAAAATTCTCTAGAGCTAATAAAGAAATACACCAAAGTTGCAGGATTCAAAACCAACACACAAAATCAGCTACATTTCTATATGCTAATAAAGAATAATCCCAAAAGGAAATTAAGAAAACAAATCTATTTATAAAAGCATCAAAAAATAGCGTGGAATAGGGCGCCTGGGTGGCTCAGTTGGTTAAGCGACTGCCTTCAGCTCAGGTCAGGATCCTGGAGTCCCAGGATCGAGTCCCACATCAGATTCCCTGCTCAGCAGGGAGTCTGCTTCTCCCTCTGCCCCTCCCCCCCATGCTCTCCTCTCTCTCTCTCTCTCTCAAATAAATAAAGAAATCTTGAAAAAAATAGTGTGGAATAAACTCAACTAAGGAGGCAAAAGACTTATACACTGAAAACAATAAAACATGGCTGAAAGAAATTAAAGACACAAATAAATGGAAAGAAAGACATCACACATTCATGGACTAGAAGACTTAATATTGTCAAGATATCAATACTTCCTAAAGCAATCCACAGATTCACTTCAATCCCTATAAAAATTTCAATGCTTTTCCAGAAATAGAAAAATTCACCCTAAAATTCATATGGAATTGCAAGGGACCCTGAATAGCCAAAATCATCTTTAAAAAGAAGAACAAAGTTGGAAGACTCATATATCCTAATTTCAAAACTTATTAACAAATTATAGTAATAAAAAAACAGTGGGGTATCAGCATAAAAACAGATATACAGACCAATGGAATAGAATACAGGGGCCAGAAATAAACCATCATGTATATGGTTAAATGGTGTTTGACAAAGATACCAAGTCCATTCAATGAGAGAAAGTACAGTCTTTTCAACAAATGATCCTGAGAAAACTGCGTATCCACATGCAAAAGAATGAAGCTGGACCCCTACTTTACACCATATACAAAGTTAACTCAAAAAGGATCAAAGTCTTAATTATAAGAGCAAAAACTGTAGAATCTTATAAGAAAACATATGGGAAAAAATTCATAATATTGACTTTGGCAAGGATTTCTTGGATGACACCAAAAGTTTAGGCAACAACAGAAAAAATGGATAAACTGGACTTCATCATAATTGAATACTTTTGTGCATCAAAGGGCACTGTTAAAAGAGTGAAAGTACAATCCATAGAATGGGAGAAAATATTTGCAAATCCTGTATCTGACTAGGAATTAATATCCAGAATATATAAAGAACTCCTACAACAAAAAGGCAAACAACTCATTTCAAAAATGGGCAAAGGACTTGAATAAATGTTTCTCCAAAGATATACAAATAGCTAAAAAGCACATGAAAAGATGCTCAATATCACTAGCCATTAGGGAAGTGTAAATCTAAACCACGATGGATACCATTCTATACCCACTAGGATGGTTATTATAAAAACTAAAAACAAAATAAGTGTCCGTAAGGATGTGGAAAAGTTAGAATCCTTGTGCATCCAATTGAGCATTTCCAAACTGTTAAACACAGAATGACCATATGGATCAAGCAATTCCACTTCTGGGTATATTCCCAAAAGAATTGGAAGTGGGGACTCAAACAGATACTTGTACACCAATGTTTGTAACAGGACTACTCAGAATAGACAAAAGGTGAAAACAACCCAAGTATCCATTAACAGATGAATGGAGTAGCAAAATGTAGTAAATATACAATGTAATATTATTCAGTCTTTTTAAAAAAATTTTTAAATTTTTTATTGTTATGTTAATCACCATATATTACATCATTAGTTTTTGATGTAGTGTTCCAGTCTTAAAAGGAATGTATCCTATAATACGGATGAACCTTGAAAACATGCTAAACAAAATAAACCAGACACAAAAGAACAAATATGACATGATTCGTCTTATATGAGTTTCCTAGAATAGGCAAATTCATAGAGACAGAAAGAACAGTGGTTACTAGGGGCTAGGAGAAGGGGGGAATGAGAAGTCAGTGTTTAATTGGTACAGAACTTCAGTTTGGGATAATGAAAAAGTTCTGGAAATAGTGCTAATAGTTGCACAACTCTGTGAATATACTTAATGCCACTGAATTGTACACTTAAAAATAGTTAAAATGGGGGGATCCTGGCTGGCTCAGTCGGTAAGAGCGTGTGACTCTTGATCTTGGGGCTGTAAGCTCAAGCCCCAGGTTGGGCGACTGACTCTTGATTTTGGCCCAGGTCGTGATGTCAGGGTTGTGGGATCAAGCCCCATGTCGGTCTTCACGCTCAGTGTGGAGTCTGCTTGTGCCTCCTCTCCCTCTGCTCCTCCCCTCCCCTCTCTCTCTCAAATAAATAAAATCTTAAAAATAAAGAGATAAATCTTTAAAAAAATCATTAACATGGTAAGTTTATGCTATATATATCTTACTACAATTTTAAAAATATCCTGGACACACAGGAAATAGGATATATAACATTAAACTTAAAATAAGTGCCTATAAAATATTATTCATATTTCAAGAGCACATACTAATTACGAGAATTAGTAGGAGACAACTTAAATTCTTTTTTTTAAAGATTTTATTTATTTATTTGAGAGAGAGAGAGCATGAGATGGGGGAGGGTCAGAGGGAGAAGCAGACTCCCTGGGAGCCTGATGTGGGACTCGATCCCGAGACTCCAGAATCATGACCTGAGCCGAAGGCACTTGCTTGACCAACTGAGCCACCCGGGCGCCCTTGAACTCTTTTTTAAAAAATATTTATTTATTTATTTTAGAGAGAGAACATGCACGTGATTGGGAGAGGCAGAGGGAGAGAGAATCTAAAGCAGAGGAGCCTGATGGGGCGCTCGATCTCACAACCCTGAGATCATGACCTGAGCCCAAATCAAGAGTTGGATGCTTAACTGACTGAGCCACTCAGGTGTCCCAATTACTCAAATTCGAAAGTTGATGTAACAACTCAACGTGGTTTCTACCAATTGCTTGAAGAAAAACAATGTAAAAGTATTTCATTTATTAGATATTAAAATTTACAAAATTATCATAATTATAATAGTGAGGTAATTAAGGCATTGTGGCTAAGATAGCATATGTAATGACAGTTCGGCCAATGGAATGTTTCAGAGAGCCCAGAAACAGGCCTAAGTATCAACACAGACAGTTGATTTACAGTAAAAATGGTATTCAAGAGCAGTGGAGAAAGTACATTCTTTTCAATAATTAATGCTAGAAAAACTGGATAGTCATATAGAAAAAAATGAAACTCAGTTACTACCTAAAATCATATACAACATAAATTCCGTATCTGTGTGTGTAACATAAAATAGTGAAAGTTTGGGAGAAAATACATGGGAGACATCTCCCATCTATTATATTGTCATAATAAACAGGAGGAAGAGAAAATAAAAGAGGAAAATATTGATGTTTAAACATGTTAAAATTTAGACTGTTGCCTCCCTGTGTTCACTAACCCCAAACTATTCCCAATTCTGTCTCAATCCCTACCAGTTCCCCACTTTGAAAGACTCATCTTAAAACAAAAAAGCCCTTACCCCAAATTTCTAAAAATACCCTAACATCCGCCTTTTTTTTAAGGTTTTATTTATTTATTTGAGAGAGAGAGAATGAGAGATAGAGAGCACGAGAGGGAGGAGGGTCAGAGGGAGATGCAGACGCCCTGCTGAGCAGGGAGCCCCATGTGGGACTCGATCCCGGGACTCCAGGATCATGACCTGAGCCGAAGGCAGTTGCTTAACCTACTGAGCCACCCAGGCGCCCCACGTCCGCCCTTTTTTTAAAAAAAGATCTTATTTTTCCATTTGAGAGAGAGAGTGAGAGAGTGAGCATGAGCAGGGGGAAGAGCAGAGGGAGAAGTAGACTCCTCGCTGAGCAGGGAGCTTGTCGTGGGGCTCAATCCCAGGACTCCAGGATCATGATCTGAGCCGAAGGCAGACGCTTAACCCACTGAGACACCCAGGCGCCCCTAACATCCCCTTTTGAATTCTCACCAAGATCGTATCAAGTTGATGTGCCTCCTTGCTACAGGTTTAATCACTCAGCTTTGTTTGATGAACAGGTTTCCTTGGTGGTCTTTGTGGGGGAATAAAAAATCGACAGTCTTTATCTTTTTAAGATATATACTGAAATCTTTATAGACAAAAGGATATCATTTCTGAGATCTGCTCCAAAATTAATGAAAAAAATAGAGAAAGTATATAGGGATAGTTAAGATCGATCATAAATTGTTGAAGGTGGGTAATGGTACATGGGAGTTCATTATACTACTCTAATTCGGTATGTTTTAAATCCACTCTAATAATTGTAAAAACTTATTTTTCTCTTTTTTTAGTCCTTAAGAGGGCATGTTCATTAAGGTCACAATAGAGTTACAATATCTGACTGAGATTGCCAGGTTCACATGCAGGAAGCACTTAGGCAAACATAACCTAAGTCATGCTGGATTTTGGAGTTCTGCCATGGATGGAAAGTGGGGAAGAGCAAAGTAGTTGTTGATTTGAAATAATTCTTTTTAATCCCCTCCTACTACAACCTCATAATTTAGAACTAAGGGCAGATATAATTAACTTAAATTTGACATTTAAATCTTGATTAAAACAAATAAAAAAGGGTAGGGAATATTTTCTGTGCTTTCTTTATTCAGACAGTGAAACTGTGTTACAGTCAGCTAAATTCTTAGTTGTGCTTAGAATGTGCTCCCTCCTACAATTTACTCTGGAAAAATGAAGATTCTTATTCTTTCTTAGAATCCTGGACCCTGAAATGGGCAGTTAGGACGATTCCATATACATGCAGGGTGATGCCCAGTTTGAGGCTCTGAGTAGCTAGTCATATAAGTTGACTTTTCTGTGCATTTGTATCGAGGAGGATCCAGCTCAGGTTGATGTCCTGGAAACCAGTGAGGCTCTCTCTTAAACCCTGAGGGAAGAAAGAGAAGGAAAGGCAAGTGGAATCAGTCAACAACAACGAGCCTTAGTAACCGGTCTTGTTCTTATTCCTGACGGAAAATTTTTGAGTCTAGTGAGTACTGTCAAAATTGAGAAAAGAGAAAAATCAGGGGTGCCTAGGTGTCTCAGTCAGTTAAGTGTCTCCCTTCGGCGCAGGTCATGATCCCAGGGTCCTGGGATCAAGTGCCGCATGGGGCTCCCTGCTCCATGGGGAGCCTGCTTCACCCTCTCCCTCTGCCTGCCACTCCCCCTGCTCGTGCTTGTGCTCTCTCTCTCTCTGTCAAATAAATAAACAAAATCTTTAAAAAAAAAGAGAAAAATCATTTACTCATTCACTTATTCACTCATTCAATTTACTTTTATTTGAGCTCCTTCTATGTTCCAGACACTGAGTTAGGTCCTGAGAATATAAAATCGAAAAGAATAGTCCACCTACTATGAGTTGAAAGTGGCATTTTGTTGTTATAGCTCATATCATATGATGTTTCAAAGTAGTGTCCAAACTGGAAAGAAAAAGTAATCAGTTAAAAATATAGGAGTCTACACTTAATGTTGGAAAATAAAGGACACAATGAAATGAATTTTAACAGACTGTCATATTTTGGATTAACTAGAGGTCTATATGTTGTTAGTCTACATTCTACTAACTTTCATATCCTTTGTTTACTTGTTTGTTTAGGAGACACTTTAGGGCAAAATGCAGATAAATGACAAGTCTAGGTAGGCAGCCTGAGTCAGAAGACATATATTTATGTAGATGAAGAAAGTCTAAAGAGAAGCAAGAGAAAAGGAGTACTTCCCATACTTTTACTACTTTACTATTCTACTTGATAGTAAAGTAGGACAGCCGTTCCACCTAAAGACTGCTGTCCACTCCCAACCACCTCACTGAACAGAGAGGCCTCAGAGATGTGAGCATGGAAGTTATCAGGTTCGTACTTCTAAAATGGCCACTGGCATTTCTTTTGCTAACGGAAGGAAAGAGAAGAGAAAGTTAGATTACCTGGGAAGGCAAGGGTTTGGGCTGCACGATATTCCTTAGGTCATATCTTTCCTGGTTCCAGTTTCCCATCAGGGTACGGTTTGAATAGGCATTCTCATTAGTGGTACATCTCCATCCATACTGGAAAAACTTGGACATATCATTCCAATCTGTCCACACTTCAGCATGGCCATCTGCATTAATGAGGCTGCCATAGTGTGGATTAGCTAGGAAATAGGCAAGGTGCTGTCTCTGGGAAAAGGCGAGAACAGAAAGGCTAGTTGCATAAACTAGGGAACAGAAAAGGCATTCATCCCTTTCTCCCTCCTGGCCAAGTATAACATAAGCACACCTTACTAAGGATCTAGGCTTTCCTCCCAATTTAATTGTGGTTCCGTTTCTTTCTCTCCTGGTCCGTGAATCCTTTGACCTAGCCAATCACAAGTAGCAGATGGCTAGGTACATCAAATGCCAACCCCCAAAGACGGGAAAACCTTCAGTATCCCCAGTACTATATGGAAAACTAGCTAAATGTTCAGGAAATTTTGAGATGTAAGAGTTTAAGGACTAAGGATATTACTATAGCCAAAGAGAATAGGGACAAGTGAAAGTTGGATAACTAGATAACACAACAAAGGTTCAATAAATGATAGTTTCCTTCCTTCTGGTCTCAGCTCAAATGCCACTTCTTCCATGATGTCTTCCAAGTTAACTTCTCTCTCCTTTGTCTCACACAGAATGGTATCTTCATATCTTTAGCTTTCTACCATACATTAGAATTCTTCAAGTATGTGTTGAATCTCCTATGTTGAACTGTGTACATCCCTTTAGGAGAGGCCCTGTGTCTTATTATTATACCCTCTCCCTCTGCCTGCTCTCCCAGTCAATGGTGCTTTGCATGTGTATCAGGTGACCAATGTCTGAATTTCAATTTTTTTGTAAGGACTCAAAAGCCTAGTCATTTTTATTTTAGGCCAAAAGATGACCGTGGTCCCTTGGCTTGGAGGCAAGACAATACCTTCACTGAAGAAGAGCATTTTGATGCTGAGTGGCTTGTGTTGTTTGAAGAATTTGTAGGAAAGTGACAGAAAATATTATTCAGCTGTTCCATTTTCTTTAAAGGAAGAGGTATCACCAAACTTGGCCTTCCCGTTCTCCAAAGAAAGAATGTAGGTCACCCAGATCACCATGGCCAGGAGGCCATGATTTGGGAGTCACCACCCACCGAGCCACCTTTCCACAGGTAGGGACAAAGTCAATACTGTAGCCCTCATACCATGTGCCTTTGTGAAGAGAGATGTGTGCACTGATGTCAACAAATAGCATGATGACTAAAGAGTAATTCCTGCAAAGTCTGACAAGCCTAGTACTCACACTGTACACCAAGAGGACACTGACCTTGGGGCTATAAGGACAGACATCACCATCCACTCAGTTGCCCAAGGCCAAAACCTGTAGCTCATCTTTGACTCTGATTTATCTTTCAACCCCTTATATCCAACCAAACTCTAGGTCTTACTGATTTTTGAATCAGACCACTACCCTCCATCCCCACTGCCAAGTTCCAGTTTAGATCACTACCAGCTTTTGTCACCATTATTGCTGTAGTTGCCTCTCTGATCTCCTTGCCATCAGCCTTGGTCTTCTCCAATCCTTTCTCCATAGTAAAGAAGAATGGTGTGAAAATGAAAATCTAATTGTGTCATCTTCCTATTTAAAAGCTGGCCACTGTCCGAATAAGACTCAGGCTGTTAAAATGGCTTTCGGTGTTCTATATGATCTGGCCCCTGCTTAACTCTTCCTTCTCCCCTGTTACCCACTCTCCCTCCAACTACATTTCAGCCAAACTCAAGGATTCTGTTTCTCCATCATGCTTTTGCAAATACTGTTCCTCCTGCCTCTTCACTTCTCTTTACCCGGGTCAGGTATACTCCCCCCTTCCCCCTTAGCTTTTTTCTTTTTTTAAAAAAAGATTTTATTTATTTGAGAAAGAGAGAGAGCGAGCGAGCGCACAAGCGGGGGGGAGGGGCAGGCAGAGGGAGAGGGAGAAGCAGACACCCCGCTGAGCAGAGAGCCTGATGCGGAGCTCATCCCAGGACCCTGGGATCATGACCTGAGCCGATGGCAGGCTCTTAAGTGACTGAGCCACCCAGAATTCAGGTTCACTTCATTTAGGGAATCTTTCCACTTCATCCCAGAAGTTGGTAAGGTTCTAAATCTCTCTGCGTGCCCTACAGCACCCTGAGTGACTCCTCACGGCGCCGCATCCCACCGTACCGGAATTGCCTCTTTTGCTGTGCAGTCCCCATCAGACTATAAGCTCAGTGAAAACACAGGCCACATCTTATTCATCCATGTATTTAGCCGCCCTCACAGTGGCCTGGCACATAACAGGCACTCAGTATTTCTTGAATGAATAAAAAGGAGATAGAAGCACCTGGAGAAATCCCGCGCAGCAGAGACAATGGACAGCAGCCATTTCGGACGAGAGGAAGGCTACGCTGTGACCACAACAAGCTGAATGCAGCCCAACCTCTCGGCCTCGGCCCCGGCCCCGCCCCTTTCCTTTCACTCAGAACTCGCCTCTCCCGGGCTCTGTGCCTGTGCGCTAGTGACTGCTTGTGACCTCATGCAGGTGTGACGAAGTCTCTCAGGGCAGCCGTCGGGCTAAAAGGCATTTATTTTGACACTCCTGAGGGTGTGAGGGAGTGAGGGGACGGGGTGGTCGGTGTCTCGCTTTTGCACTCATTGGCTATTTTCCCCCCTGCAGTCTCAGCACCAGTTTCTCAAGACAACTGGACGCTGTCGGTGCATCATCAATCAGCGACGGACGAAGAGGAGGCCCGCCGAGACCCCCACGGAGGAAGTGACGTAAGAAACTGGCGCCTCCGAGGACGCGAGCGGGGAGGAGGTTGAGGCCATGGCCCCTCGGCGCCTCCTGTTGGTTGGGGAGGGGAATTTCTCCTTCGCCGCTGCGCTGAGCGAGACCCTGGATGCGAGCGCCCGAGTAACCGCCACCTGCCTCCAGCGCCCGGCCGACTTGGCCCGGGATCCGGTGGCCGGGGAGAATCTGCAGCGCCTGCGCGAGCGAGGTAGCGAGGCCAACCCCTCCGCGAAGCCCCGCCCCCCTACTGGCGCGGCCAGAAGTGCAAGGGGTGGGCGCGTGCGGCTGTAGGGCACGCGTAGCTTGGTTTTGAGCGTTGGGTTCCCTGAAAGCCGGCAGTGGGCTTGGACCTGGGTTGTCTTGCACTGTCCAGGTTAGGGAGGGATTCAGGTCTTGAGATACCCTCCTGTCTATATTTCGTGCTAGGTACTGAGGTACGTTTTGGTGTGGACTGCACCCGGCTGGCAGATGCCTTCGAACTGCACCAGAGGGAGTTTGATCGAATTTATTTTAATTTTCCGCACTGTGGACGAAAAGCTGGAGTAGCTAAGAACAGGGAACTGCTTGCCAAGTTTTTCCAGAGGTGAGGAAATGAGACCGCTCACAAGTAAAATATTTAAGATGTGCATTACATAGTTACTGCACTCACGCATTTTAGTTTGAGAAATAAGGCATATGTCTGTAAGTTAAATGTGATAGGTTTAGAGAGACTATAAAGCTCCAGAGGAACCCACAATCTAGTTGGAAAGGCAGACATGTAACCCTAAAAGTTAAATAAAAGTACGAATAGTATGTATGCTCTTGGGTGTGTAAAAGGAGGATCACCTATTTTGGATAATGCAAAATAATGGTAGCCAGCATAATCTAATGGCTAAAAGCATGGATTCAGATCCCCACCCACCACTTAATAGTTGTATGATTTGGGGTAAGCTTCCTTGACCCTTACTTGCTTTTGCTTCTTCATCCATAAACTGAGGATACTGAGGGTAACTACCTCAGATTAATGTGAACTTAAAACAGTGCTTTACACTCTTATACCAAAACATGTGGTACTCTTGGAGGACTCTAGGGGTCATAGTTGTCAAGAAGGTTTTCACACAGCCAGGATTTTAAGTTAGTATTTGAAATACAGAATTTTGATAGGAAGGGAGTGAAAAGAACAATTTTCTAAACTGGGAAGAACAGCCCGATTAGTGAATCACATATAGGAACTTTGCAGACATTGACCTTTCTATGACATTAGATGAACAATGCAGATACAAAGCCAGATAATACCCTGGTCAGCCACTAGTATCAGTTATGAGTTGAACATTGAATTTACATTCTTACTTCCAGCTACTTCCTTTGCATGTTTGAAGTCTATAGACCTTTGTAAAAAGACACAATTGGATTTTAATTATTTCACAGCCAAACCAAGTATATACAGCTTGCTTTCTATGGTAATTTCAACTTGTTACTGATAAATTGCTGGTGTCCACCTCTCCCTATTAGCTGTAAAGATGTTCTTGCAGAGGAAGGAGAAGTGCATGTGGCATTGTGCAGAGGACAAGGTGGGACTCCTGCTGATAAGCCCATGAGGGAATGGCACAACAGTTGGCAAGTGGTTGCCATGGCAGCTCTGGGGGGATTCATTTTAAGTGACGTGCATCCCTTCAGCTGTGAGGTTGTGCCAGGGTACAAGTGCACTGGATATAGGTGAGTAATATCAGACATCTAAGCCTTTTTCATCTCTCATGCTAATAATGAAAAAAATCTCTTAGGCAAACTTTCCCCTACCAATTTCCTGCTTTGGTCTCTAGAAATGCTTGCTTTTAAAAATAATGACAATAGGGGCGCCTGGGTGGCTCAGTCGTTAAGCGTCTGCCTTCAGCTCAGGTCATGGTCCCAGGGTCCTGGGATCGAGCCCCGCATCGGGCTCCCTGCTCAGCGGGAAGCCTGCTTCTCCCTCTCCCACTCCCCCTGCTTGTGTTCCCTCTCTCGCCGTGTCTCTGTCAAATAAATAAATAAAATCTTAAAAAAAAATGACAGTAAATACATTAATTAAAAAAAATGACAGACTCCATACTTGGTGACTATTTTGCCAGGAGTCAAGATAAGTCCTTTCATCTAGAAGGTGCTTTGAACCATATCTTCACCCGGAGCTTACCCTTTGAAGGTTCACAACCCAGAATCTTCAGGATCAAACTGGGTGACCAGTGGTTTTCCTTTGCAGAACCAGATGCACTTGTAGGAAAGTTGAACAGGTAACCTGCTGTTTTACCAGAAATTACTTCTTTCTCTAGCGTATCCTGATTGGCTTGATGGCAACTGTGTATTGAATGGTTGCTATATAAATTGTTAATGATGTTGGTGCTATGAATACTTGTCAGTCTGGCCTTACACAAGCCTTTTTAGAATTAAAATTTGTCATATTTTCCGGTATATCATACGGATGGTGGCTGTCAGAGTTCTGAAACACATGGTATCTGTTTCTGGTAGATAATTTTTTTTATTTGCTTTTAGGATCACCTTAAGGATAATTCTTTTCTATACAGCTATTTGTGCTTTTAATTCTAGATCCATTATAATTATCATTTGAAGTTAAAAAGTTATTCTTATGTGTATTTAAACAGAGGTTTCCTAGAAGCACCTTCATGTCATCCTATCAGAACCATTAATGAGAAACTCATTGCTGAATTGGGCAAAGCTTTCCCTCTGCAGAGGCTGAAGTGTTCCTTCCCTTTTCTGCCAGAGGGAAGCACCAGTGTTCTCACTTCCTGGAATTGTGACAGTCTGTCAGCTGCCTTTTGGATTAGTCTCTGTGAAGATAATTCAAATTCTGAGTCCCTGACTGGCGGGACAACACAAGACATGGAGGACTTTCTAGTGTTATTTTCAGAATTTAGCCTTCTCAAGGATCCTGGAAGAGACAGCAAGGAAGAAGCTCATGAAGAAATCTATGGCCAAACCAAGGTCTGTCTTAGACCTTCTCTCCTAGTTCATGTTCAGGCTGTCATCCAAGGACCAGACTTCCTCCCAGGTTCCCTGCACGTCCTCAGTGGACCTGTCTTTCGGAAGTGCCACATCTTGCCTTTCACAATGCCGGCATTTCATGAGACTTTATTTATCCTTGGGTTTAATAAAAATCTGAAGGGTGGTTATCTTCAGTCACTACTGGATCACCTGAAGGGCGCTCTCGATAGCCTTCTGATCCAGACATTGCTGGAGGGCTCTAAGCTGAGCAGCTCAGTGGAATTTGTCTTTCAACCAAACGGGAAAGATTATATTATTAATGTGAAGTCTCATAATTTTGGCTCAGATTGTGCCAAGGATCTGATTATTGGGTCTGTCACTACGTCTGTTACAAGCATTATACACAAGGACCAGTGTTTTATGTTTGTGTCTATGAACTTGGACCTACTAGCCATGCTTGTCTGGGGTATCTCTGACTGGAGGATGTTGTGGACCTTTGATCACCGTTTCCTGAAGAATTTTGTTCCTGGGAAAATAGAACCCTTTAAAAGCTATTCCCTGTATCCCCCGTGCTATGTGCATGATATTAGTTTTTGGTTAGATGAGAAGAAAGAATTTGATGAACTAGAGTTTCACACGGTGGCCCGAGCAGTGTCCCAGGACACTGTCATATCCATACAATTCCTTAGTCGTTTCCAGCATCCAAAGACTCAACAGGTCAGTCTCTGCTACAGATTGACTTACCAGACGTGTGACAAGGCCCTCACCCCGCAGCAGGTGGCATCAATGCAGTCCCGGTTTAGGAAAGAGATTCAGCAAAGACTACATGTAACACCTCGGTAGTTTAGTAAATTGACTTCTCAAGTGTGATCCTTGTGGGTATGGGTGCGGGTGCAGATGAAAAAGACCAATTTGGGGGCGCGTGGCTGGCTCAACTAGTTAAGCATCTGCCTTCGGCTCAGGTCATGATCTCAGGTTCCTGGGGTGGAGCCCCACGTCAGGCTCCCTGCTCAGAGGGGAGTCTGTTTCTCCCTCTCCCTCTCCCCATCGCCCCCTGCTTGTGTGTGTGTGCTCTCTCTTTCTCTCTCAAATAAAATCTTAAAAAAAAAGAAAAGAAAACAAGACCAATTTGTACCTTGTAGTCCTTTCTGGATTGTGATTTTGTAAAATCTTTTACCTTGTGACTCTAGCCAATGTTGGTTGACTCTAAAGAAACTTGGGGCTCTGTCACTTAAACTCATAGACTATAATGTGATTGTGACCTTTGGAGTTGTACCGTATTTTGATCCTGAGTCATGAGTAGGAAAACTAACAAAACAGTATCTTGTACTTTAGATGCTTTATTTGTGAAGATGCAATAGAACTTCAGCGTCATATTTATATTTTTTCCATGCTGCCAATTCCTCTTCCTTTATCCCAATATGTATTATCTCAGTCAATTTACGAGAGTGGTGTTTGGAGTCAGACCAACATTTATTAGCTTGGGTAAATTGAAAGTGCTCCATAATTAGTATTGGTATCGTCATTATAACATTTATTCCATGGTTGACTACTGTTGAAGTCATGGAACTAATTAATGTCAGATTTAGAGTTCACACTTGGGTTTGTCTGACTCAAAAGCCCATGTTCGTTCTCCCATTGTTACTTCTCCTTCCCTAGTCTTCTTCACGAGTAACCTCTCCGCTGTGATTAACTCTAAACTTTGCCCTCCTAGATTTTGGAGCCTTCTGTTGTAAGCACCTCTCAGAGACACTGGGAGATTAGCTCAGCCCAGGACTCTACAGAATGGAGTCCTCTAATGTTAATTAATGTATGTTCCCATTAATTAATAGTTAGGCTCCGCAGATTGGAATTATATTGTAAACTCTGGGAAGGAAGTAGCTGCCTTATTTGTTCTTACATTTGGAGAAAAGCATGTAGAAAGGCAAGAATGGAAGCCAAGGTACAAACTAGGAGGTAATTATGGTAATGCCAATGAGAGATAATGGTGACTTGGACCAGGGTGGAAAGATGTTGTTGGGCTGGGTAATATTTAAAAGGATTTGCTGATGAACTATGTGTGTATGGGTGAAGGGCGCGGGGCTAAAGAAACAGGAATCAAGCAGGACTGACTGCGTGGTTTTTGACCTGGAAGAACAGAAGTATCATTAACGGGGATGGGAAAACTGGCATAACATTCTGGGGAGTGGGGTAAAGAATCAAGGGATTTCTTATGGACACCTTTATTGCTTGTCTTTCTACACAGACTATAAGCTAATTGAGGGCAGGTAATATGATTTATAGCTTTCTTTGTTTTTATTAGAGAGTACACACACACACACACACACACACACACACCGGGAGGGGGTGGGGTTGTTGCAGAGGCAGAGGGGGAGAGAGAATCTCAAGCAGGCTCCACGCCCAGTGCTGAGCCCAATGTGGGGCTTGATCTCATGACCCTGAGACCATAACCCAAGCCAAAACCAAGAGGCAGATGCTTAACCGACTGAGCCACCCAGGCATCCTTGATATATAGTTTTCTTCTGTCCCTAATGGTGCCTAGTACAAGGGACAAGGTAGCATTTGAGCTGGATCTTAAAATAAGGGCAGTGATGTGATGGGAGGACTGTCAGGCAAGGAGGACATCCATTCTGGGCAGAGGTATAGATAAGGGAGCAGTTGAGGCACTTTTCAGGCTAGTTAGTTGGAATGTAAACGTGTAGAGGAAAGTAGTGGGAGATAAGATCAGAAAAGTAGGTTAGAGCTGGATTTAGCTGATTAAAGACAATGCTGGAATATGGGATTTGTACTTCATTTGGCAGGCAATGGGAGAACTGGTGATTTTTGATTAAGGAGGCAATACAGAGTGGTGCTTTTGAAAATTAATTAGACAGTGTTGCATAGGATGAATTTGAGATGAAGGACCTCTGTAAGGATGCTGTTGTAGTACTCCTAGGTAGAGGCAGGGAGGGGCCTGCATTAGAGTGAAATGAGAAGGGGAATGAAAAAGGGATGTCTATAGGAGATAGGGCTAGGCTGGGATGTCTGAACTTGGTACCTAATAATTGCCTATAGGAATTGAGCAATATGATCAATTTCCCTTTTCAATATTTGTGAATTTTTGGTATGAAATAATAATCTGGGACCCTGTCAAGTTCAGCACTCCCTCTATATAACATTCTAAGTATATAGCAGTGTATATTAACTTGATGGTCATTTAAGTTTGAACACCTAAAAGAACTTCATTTTCACTCCGCTCCACGTTTTATGTATATGTTGTCCTATTTTACATCTTTTTTATTTTGTGAGTCCCTTTAATTTTTTTAGATATAGTTGATTTTACTACTTGTGTCTTTTAACCTTCATCCTAGCTTTCTAAGTGATTACTACCTTTATGTTTGCTTTTACTCATGAAATTTTTTCTTTCTGTAATTGTCTTCTACTTATTGCCCCCCCCCTTACAGAAGTCCCTTTAACATTTCTTGCAAGGCCCATTTCAGCACTCCCTGTACAAACGGTTCAGCTACTGCTACAGAGCTCCACAACTCCACAGGATGGCATAGAACTCTGTGATTGGGGGAGTGAGCAGGGTATCAGGAACAGATGAATAACCCCTGAGAGTCAGAGGTGTGCTATCGCCTGTATGACATCAGGAGCTTCCTCCTAATCTTCTGGGAAAAGCATGGGCTTTGAAATAAGACCTGAGTTGGAATAGGGCTCCACCATTTCCTAGCTATGCAACCTTGGGCCTCAGTTTACTTATTGATAGGAACAAGGTGGTTGTATTACATTTAAAAAGGATAAAGTATGTAAATTGCTTACCAAATTGCTGTAGTAGAATGGCAGTGCCAGGGGTCTGGTTGATTTGTTGCACAGAATTTCTTGAGGCTTTCTTTTTTCTTATTCTATATTCTGCCATTACAGCTTTGTCTCTCTGAAGCAGTTAATTAGCTATAGGCGGTCTCTATCACTCTCCCCAAAAGACAGAGAGGGCCAGGTGCCAGTGACCTTTTAATGACCTCCGCTTTCATCTGCAGCTGTGCTGTTATCTTTAACTGGATAAATACCTCTGCCCACTCCGTAGAGTGGTTTAGCCACTTTCCGTTTGTGCTGAAGAGTGGAGGGAGAGACAGAGTGGGACGGAGGGCGGAATGCCCAGAGTTACAAATATGTGGAAGGGATAGCTATGGTGGCGAAAGTCAAGTCTCAGGTCTCATTTCTTTTCTACTTCGGGATTTGCCCCAATTGGCCCAGTAGCGCTGTAATTTAGTCTTTTCTGCGCATGTCAAGGTCTTTTGTCCCTCGGCGGACACCGTTGCCAGCCAAAGCTATGTCTCCGCGCTTGCCGCCTTCGTAGAGTGCCGAATTGTACCTTTTTTTCCACGCGTGCCATGGCGAGCCGAGGGGCTCGTCAGCGCCTGAAGGGGAGCGGGGGCAGCGGCGGGGACACAGCCTCGGCCGCGGACAAGCTGCGGGAGCTGCTGTGCAGCCGTGAGGCGAGCGGCGCGGAGCCCCGGACCGAGTAGGTGTGCGGGCGCGGCGGGGGCGTGGCGGCGGGGCGGCGCGGCGCGGGGCTGGCCCCGGAGGGGGTCTCGGGGCGGCGCGGGTCCGGCCTGGCTGCCTCTTCCCCGGGTTCTTCTGCTCTTCCTGGACGGGTCACGTCCGGTCTTCGCCCCACCCTGGACCCCCCCCCCCATCCCGGTCCCGTGTTTCTGGGGAAGAAAGCCTGGAGGGAGGCTCCGAGGCTGCTGGCCCAGGCCCAGAGCGGGCTGGCGTCATGGTGTTTGAGTTGGCCGAGCCTCACTGGCAAGAGCGAAGAGCAGACCTTTTCCGGCTGTCTCTCTCAGTTTCCTTCATTGCCCGCAAAGTCCTAACCCCTTACTCTTCAGTGTGGGCCCCGCAACCTCCGGCACCTGCAGCCGTCTCTCTCCCCAAGCCCGGGGCACTGCGGGTTAGGACCGCGTTGAAGGAGCGGTCAACATACGGAACTGGAGGAGGTTACATACTTTGCACAAATTAGGCCTCTGTGCATTTGAACAAGTGGGGAAATGAATAAAGATGCATAATAATGACCTTGTTAAGAGAAGAAAGAAAAGGAGAACGAGAGCTTTGTGGCCTTCAAGGAGTGTCATCGAGGCGGATGAATTAAAAGTGTATGAATGAGCTTACGCATTAAAAGCAGGAAGTGGAAAGAATAAGAACAATTAAGGTCTTCGTCTCTTCTGTACTTAAACAACTAACTTCTTAGGTGAATTAAGTGTGCTTTGATGTCCTTGCCATTCTTGTCGTTTCTGTCTAGTTTCAGCCCTTCTAATTAGTAGGTCTTCCTGACACATCCTCCCTTTACTTCTGAGCAGGTTATCTGGGAACAAAGCAGGACAAGTCTGGGCACCTGAAGGATCTACTGCTTTCAAGTGTCTGCTCTCAGCAAGGTTATGTGCTGCTCTCCTGAGCAACATCTCTGACTGTGATGAAACATTCAACTACTGGGAACCAGTAGGTGATTTCTTTAGTTTTCTTTTTTGTGGTGGTGGTGGTTCTTGATTTCATTGCTTGGGACCTTGTTGCCAATCAGGATACAAATAATATACAAGTGTGACGGTAGTAAAGCAACTTCATTTTCACTTTTGTATTTTAAGCTGATGATTTACCTGTCAGTTGAAGGCCATAGGAAAATGGGGCTTTTTACAAAAAGATGTAATTTGTAACTTTCTTAAAAATTTATTTTAAATCAAAATAATACTTCGAGATAATTTTTATTTTAATTTTTAAAAGATTTTATTTATTCTTGAGAGACAGAGAGAGAGGCAGGCAGAGGGAGAAGCAGACTCCCCGCTGAGCAGGGAGCCGGAGGTGGGACTTGATCCCAGGACCCTAGGATCATGACCTGAGCTGAAGGCAGACGCTTAACCGACTGAGCCACCCAGGCGCCCCTCGAGATAATTTTTAAAGTTAACAACTACTACAGAACTTAAAGGGAAAACAGTAGCTCTCTGTTCCACTTATCATAGCCAAATCCCAGTCCCTAGAGGTGACAACTTTCAACTTTTTTGGTTATTTTTTATGAAATGTGCTAGAAATAGAAAAATGTTATTCAGTAGTATGCTTATACTGCTGTTTCATGATTTATACATATGTAAGTCTTCTGACTTCTTACCTCAGAAAATTCAGAGGCGAAATTTTCTGATCCCATTTTGCATGAAAAAATGCTTAGTGTAGGTAGTTTAAGGAAAATATAAGGTTTAGAGTCTCTCTGTTTTGGCTAATGAGTATCTTATTTGTTTGAGAGAGGGAGAGAATGAGTGGTGGGGAGGGCGAGGGAGAGGGGGAGAGAAGTAGACTCACTGTTGAGCAGGAAGCTGATGCGGACTCAGGTCCCAGGACTGGCAGATTATGACCTGAGCCAAAGGTAGCCGTTTAACTGGCTGAGCCACCCAGGCACCCTTTGGCTAATGAGTATTTTTTTTTTTTAAGATTTTATTTATTTATTCATGAGAGACAGAGAGAGAGAGGGAGAGAGAGAGAGAGAAGCAGGCTCCCAAGGAGCAGGGAGCCCGATGCGGGACTCGATCCCAGGACCCTGGGATCATGACCTGAGCCGAGGGCAGACGCTTAACCATCTGAGCCACCCAGGTGCCCCTGCTATTGAGTATTTTAACAAAATAAGTAGAGGGTAAAATTCAAGCTTTCGACATTGACCAAACAATAATCTTGTAGAAATTATAATGTCCTAATAATTTTCAGTATTGGGTCATTTTGATTCTTATCTATTAGTTTCAAATCTTGAGAATTTCAGCATTTCTGTGTACCTTTGTGTTACTAATATTTTGCTTGGAAACTTGGATTTTTGGCCAATTTAACTCTAAATCTGTTTTGTACTTTCAGACACACTACCTCATCTATGGGAAGGGGTTTCAGACTTGGGAATATTCCCCAGTTTATGCGATTCGCTCCTATGCTTACCTGTTGCTTCATGCCTGGCCAGCTGCATTTCACGCAAGAATTCTACAAACTAATAAGGTAAGGGCAGGCCAGCCTGGGAGTAATTACACCTGATCAAGAGATGAGTCTCTGGAACAGTTTTCAGAAAAGGACAAAAAAGACTGGTAGGTAGGAGAGGGCTTTTTTTTTTTTTTTTTTTGAAGATTAATCATTTATTCATTCAGCAAACATTAATGGAACAACTTTGTAAAAATTTTTTATTTTAATTCCAGGATAGTTAACATACAGTGTTATATTAGTTTCAGGTGTATAATATAGTGATTCAACAATGCTGTATATTACTAGGTGCTCATCAAGATAAGTGTATTTTTAATTCCCATCACCTATTTCAACCCTTATTGCACCCCCGTCCCTTTGGTAACCATCAGTTTGTTTTCTGTAGTTGAGTCTGGTTTTTTTTTTTTTTTTTTGGTTTGTCTTTTTTCTTCATTTTTTGTTTCTTAAATTCCATATATGAGTGAAATCATATGGTATTTACATGTTTGCAAATGACAAGATTTCATTCTTTTTTATGGCCAGATAATCCATTGTATGTATATACCACCTCTTTATTCATCTATCAGTGGACCTTTGGGCTGCTTCCATAATTTGGCTATTGTAAATAATGCTGCAGTAAACACCTATATATGCATATATCCTTTCAGGTGCATATATCCTTTCAGTTTAGTGTTTTCATTTTCTTTGGGTAAATACGCAGTAGTGCAATTACTGGATCCTATGGTAGTTCTGTCTTTTAATTTTTTGAGGTACCTCCATACTGTTTTCCACAGTGGCTGCACAGCTTGCATTCCCACCACCAAGTACACATGAGTTCCTTTTACTTCACATTCTGACTAACACTTATTTCTTGTGATTTTTGACCATTCTGACAGATGTGAGGTGATATCTCATTGTGGTTTTGATTTGTGATGAGTGATGTTGAGCATCTTTTCATGTGTCTGTTGGCCATATGTATGTCTTCTTTGGAGAAATGTCTCTTCATGTCTTCTGTCCATTTGTTTTTAAAGATTTAGAGAGTGTGCACAGGGCGAGGGGTAGAGGGAGGGGGGAGAGAGAATCCTGTAGCAGACTCCCTGCTGAGCTGGGAGCCCAACAGAGGGCTTGATCCCAGGACCCTGAAGTCATAACCTGAGCTGAAATCAGGAGTTGGCTGCTTAACCAACTGAGCCACCCAGGTGCCCCGACCTTGCCCATTTTTAAAATTGGATTATTGGTTTTTTCCTTTGTGTTGAGTTGTAGAAGTTTTTTATATGCTTTGGATACTAACTAATGGACCACATTTTGTCTGGTAGGCACTTTAAGTGCTGTGTATGTAACAGTGGCCAAATCCCTGCCCTCATGGAATTTATAGGTTAGTGGGGAGGATGGATGAGTATTGAACAAGTAATTATAAATGCAGTGGGTCTTATGGAGGAAAAGTACAGTGTGCAATGGGATAGCATATTAGGAGAGCCTAATTTAAACAGAGTGCTGAAGGATAATTCGGAGTTAATGGAGATCTAACCTGATTACCTTTCAGAAATTTAACTGTGATGGGTCTTGGCATGGATATTTTTGGGTTTATCCTGTTTGGAAATTACTAATCTTGAATCTTTAGGCTTATGTCTTTTGCCAAATTTGGGAAGATTTTAGCTGTTATTTTTCTGAGTATTTTGCCAGCCCTGCTCTGTTTTTCCTCACCTGAGAGTCCAATGATATCAATGTTAGATGTTTAATTATAGTCCCACAGGTCTCTGAGGCCCTATTCGTTTTTTTTCAAGTCTATTTTCTCTGTGTTGATTGAGCAATTTCTAATCTTCCAGTTCAGATTGTTTCCTCTGTCCCCTCCATTCTGCTCTTGAGCCTATCTGTTGAGCTGCTATTTTGATTATTGTACTTTTTCAGTGTTAAAATTTCCATTTGTTTTTTCTTTATATATTTGGTTGCTTTACTGCCACTTTCTATTTCATGTTTCCAGTGTGTTCTTAATTGCTCATTGAAGCATTTTTACAATGGCTCCTTTACAATTTTGTCAGATAATGCTAACTTTTATCTCATCTTGTTGGTATCTGTTGATTATTTTAATTCCGTTTGAGATTTTCCAAGTGATTTTCAGTTGAAATGTGGACATTTGGGGGATTATGAGACTCTGGATCTTATTCATGGTTCCTCTGCATCTTTGGGTCTTATTGAAGCCTTCTGTTTTGTCTGCTGCTCTTGATACCACTCTAGCAGGAGAAAGGAGGGTGTTTTCCACCTTTGTTATTGCCAGGTGGGGGTAGAAGTTGAGGTTCCTCACTAGGGTAGGGGTACTTCATTACTGCTAGGGTGGGGTGAGGGGGTGAAGTCCAGATTTATCTACGTGGTCTCCACTGACAGTGTGACCAGAGAGGGAGCTTGTTACCACCAGTGAGGATGAAAGTCCTGGCTTCCTACTGGGCCTTTGATGGCATGGGTGGGAGTTGGTATATATATATATATATATATATATATATAATTTATTTATTTTTCTGGAGTGCTTTGCTGGAGTAGAGTGGTTATTGTCTAAAGGTTTTCTGCCTTGTTAGGCTACCCCTTTCTTGGCCTTTTGGCGAGATTGACCAGGCTTTGGTTGGTGTTTGTGCTCTTTGGCATTTCTAGTTGCCAGCTTCTTTAGTTATAAGTCTGGGATATAGAAGGTGAAAGAAAACCCAGGGAACTTACCATTGTGTTTTTCCTCTGGTCTTAAAGCCCCTAGGCAGTCTACTACTTTCTCTCTACCTTGAGTTGTGGTAGGTTTACTTTACCTATAATGCCCAGAGTTTTTGGTTTTACATAGCAGGAGGAAAAGGGAAAAGTATGGCTGATCCATCTTCCATGAAGCAGAAGTCCCTGATGAGAGAACTAGCGGGTGAGTAGGAATCATCCAGGTGAAGGAAGCATGGGGATGAGGGAAGAAGGCCATGAGGCTGGGAGGAGGGCCAGCATGGCCTTCTTTTATAAATAGGCTTGGTGCTTGGAAGAGACAGTGAGTGGTGGAGTGGGTTTTGTGATACTGAAAGGTAGGAGGGGCCAGACTTATACAACACCTGGTAGGCTCTAGTAAGCAGTGAGACTTTTATCCCCCCAAGGGCGTTCTGAAGCCATCCAGAGGTTTTAGACAGAGGATAGACATGATTGCATTTGCATTTTAGACTGATCAGAAAGGTAGCACCTTAGAAAGTGACAGAACTCTGTCCTTCCCTTCCCTGTGTAGTAGTTCATTTGTTTTTTTTTTTTTTTTTTTTAACTTAGCAGAGGAAAGGTGTACAGGATGAGGTCTTAGTAGAGAAATAACAATACGCAATGCTTAAGGCTTTTGTGTCCTTGTGGGTATCCACTGTCACTTCCAATCTGACATGTTCAACAGAATCCTTCATCTCCTAGCACTCTTCCTCTTATATCAATGACATGAGCAGGAAGCAGAACTGGAGTGAAGATTGCCCTTCTTGTTCTTCCTTATAATCTCCTTTCTGTTAGGTTCTGCCAATGGAAGCCAATAGGGGACCACTTGACAAGGAGGAATTAGAGCTTAGAGTCCCAGGCCCAGCATCATCATGCACAGCCAAGAGGATGGATTGTTGCTGAAAGACAATCTGGTAATAATTGGCACCCCTAGTGATGGTTACCTTTCCAAATTCTTGCCACCCTAAACAAGAATACCTTTGTTTTGTCTCCCTATGGATCTGGGTGTCAGTTTCTCTGAACTATATTCTCAGCAGTGGGAGCCCATATATATATATGGGCTACTTAATTTCATGGGGTATTGCCAGATTGCCCCCAGCGTGACTATCCAACTTTACACTTCTGCAACAGTGTTCCATGTTTCAACCACCTCATATTTCCTGAGCACTTGATATTTCTGACTTGTTAATTTTTGCCCTTCTCATGTATGTGAAATGTTTCTCATTCAAATTGCATTTCTTTGATTACTTGTGAGGTGCAACATGTCATTTGTCATTCATATTTCCTTTTCTGTGAATTACATATTCACATCCTTTGGCTGTTTTTCAGTTGGGTTTTCTGGTTTTCTCTCTTGATTTGTAGACGTTCTCAATGGTCACCCCTTGTAGGTTTTAGATACTGGAAATCTTTTAGGCTGTCACCACTCTATTTTGTCTGTGGACCTTGTCTTGAGCAGAAATCTTTAATTTTGATACAGTTAAGCCAATTAGTTTTTCACTTAAAGGTTGGTGGGTTTTGGGTCTTTCTAAAAGAAATCCTTCACCACAATTCACAAAGATGTTCTTACATATTTTCTTAGCTTATAATTTTACCTGTCACATAAAAGGCTTTAATACATTTGAATATTTTTTTAAAAAGATTTTTAAGTAATCTCTACACCCAGTCCAAACCCCAAGATCAAGAGTCGCATGCTCCACTGAGCCAGCCAGTCACTCCAGTTTGAATATTATTTTTTATAAGTTGTAGGAAGATCCAGCTTAATTTTTTTTGTGATGTAGTAAACTGGATTTTTCAGTACCACTGATGGAAGAGAATCTAAGAGATACACCTGATAAACCATTGACACTAATAAGGAAATTCAAGATTTAGATGATAAAATTAAAAAACAAAAATCAGTTGTATTCCTCTGTATCCACAATTACCACCAAAAAAAAATATATATATATATATAGCAATACAAGATTCCTTTCATAACAGCAACAAAAAGTATGAAGAATGTAGGCGTTAAGCTACCCAAGACTTGGTAAGACTGAAATGGGTACATTTAAGAATTTTATTAGCAGATACAGAAAACCTGACTAAATGGATAAATATATCATCTTAAGGATGGGATGACCTATAAAAATACTGATTCTTATATAATTCAATGCAACTCCAATCAAAACCCAACAGAATTTGGGGGAGAGGCAAACTGTGAAATGATTTTTAAAATACAAATTGTAAAATGGACAAGGTGAGAAATTTATCAACCAGATACTAACACACACTACAAAGCCATAATAATAAAAACAATATGGTACTAAGAATTTGACCAATGGCCTAGAATAAGGAGGCCA